AACACAAGAGGAGCTCCAAGCAAGTAAACGATGGCATGTTTCTTCTTCCTCTCGTTAGCTCAACTCTCAATGACTGTGATGCCCCCCCCCCCCCCCCCCCCCTCCCCTCTCATCCATCTCCCATGACGAGGGCCTTGTTTTCAGCTCACTTCAATCTCTACTTACTGAGCAGTGAGCCATTACATAAACCGTGGAAAATAATCAAGGACACACAGATGTGCCTGTTGTACAAATAACAGCTCATTCTTCTTCTTCTTGGAATGTTTGTTACTTTGCACAATGACGTCTCATCCATGGTGAAGAAAGTGATTTGTCACGCTGAAGAGGTTTCATGGAAATTACCAGTTGCACTTGTAAAGATATCATCCGTGCTGATACTTTGACTTAAGTGCTTTCAGAAAGACAAGACCTGATTATCATTCCACTTCTCAACAGCAGCATATCTCCTCAGTGGGTATTGAACGTTCAGTGTGCCCATACAGATGAATTCATAATGGCTGACGAAGGCTTGTGCCTGCATGAGGAATTAGTATTCTGGCCTTTTGATGAACAGAGTGATAATGCATTGCACTGCAAAGCTCTTGAGTGCTTAAAAGCCGCGTCATGGTTCATCCATCAGAAAAGTGACCCCGTGCGTTTATGTCTCTGAAAGGCTCCTCTCTCCGTCCGCAGGCCTGCTCCACAGCTCCCCCGACTCCCTGGCCGAGTCCTGGTTCAGGGCCAAGCTGAGTCGCCAGCGCAGCTACAGCTCGGCGTATTCTTATGAAGAGTCGGACCTGGACCTGAGCCGCTCGCTGGGCATCTACGCCCTCATCGACAACATGGTCAGTTTTATCAGCGGTGACGTGGGCCTGGCTCCGGCCTTCAAGGAGCCAGAGGAGAGCATGTCCACCAGCCCACAGGCGACGATCCTGGCCATGGAGCAGCAGCAGAACAGAGCAGAGGTGACAGTGACTCAGCTGATTTTTCTTTTCCTGCCGGAGTTCTTGGTGTCACATGAAATGATCATGAGTTTATTTTGACAACAGACACCATGAGATTGAATTAGTTTGGTTGAGAGTCTTATGTCTTTTCTTTAGTTGATCCTATTCAATGACCTTTTATCCTAAAAATGCTTAAAGTGAGGGTTGGTGATCCTGGAAGGGCTTTCAGGAGCCGGCTACACTTTTAAACAAGAAATAAATGACGAGCCCTACTTTTGATAAATCTTCAGGGTTTGACCAACGCGCCTGTTAAAACAGAGCTGACTGACCGGCCCCTGGTCTGTCCAGGCCTGTTTCTTTTCTAAGAACGTGTTTTTTGTTTTTGGAAACGACGGAGCAGACACAATACTTCTAATCTGTTCATTCATGTTTTTTCATTAGATTTCTGTCAACAAAACAAAAACTGATAATCACCAGATGTACTGATAACATTCAGCGGTCAGTTTCATTCGTCAGATTTTCAGCCAAAGAAAAACAAAACAAGAAATCCAGAGAAAAGTCTAGAAGGTTTTTTCAGTAATCCTGCTGACGAACAAGAAACAGCAATGAAAACATAATCAAAGAGTTGGATGTGTAAACCTGCTGGAATATAACGCTGACTGCTGGATGTGTCTCTTCAGTTGCGGTTGGAGGCGCTTCACCAGATTGTGGTGTTGATCTCCGGCATGGAGGAGAAGGGCAGCCAGCCCGGGAACGCAGATCGATCCAGCGGTGCCTTCCAGTCGTCCTCTCTGCTCACCTCTGTCCGGCTGCAGTTCCTGGCCGGTTGTTTTGGCCTCGGCACCGTGGGTGCCGGAGGGCTGAAGAGAGAGAGTGTGCAACTGCATCACTACCAGGTGCATACGAGGCTCCACACGAGGGCATACTACATATTTGCAGCAGTTTGCATTGGCTTGAGAAGCCTCAGAGGCTTCATTTGATCTGAAATGTACATTCTCCACGTGTTCTCCATCTTTACATGTCACTGTGTTTTACAGGATGGTGTGAAATCAGCTAAGAGGAGCCTCCAAATTGAAATCCAGACGGCCGTCCACAAGATCTACCAGCAACTGTCTGTCACACTGGAGAGAGCCCTGCAGGCAAACAAGCACCACATAGGTACCACACACTGCTACAGTATATACATGTATAGTACACATACATCTAATATATTGTTAGTCGTGGAGCTTTATGAGATCTGGATCTCTAGAGGTTTTTCTGGAGATTCACTTTAATCGCAGTCGATCTGATGCTTTTCTTCTCGCCCCTTGTTTCTTTCTCCCTCCCAGAAGCACAGCAGCGCCTCCTGCTGGTCACTGTGTTCGCACTGAGTGTTCGCTACCAGCCAGTGGACGTCTCCCTGGCCATTTCCAGCGGGCTGCTCAACGTGCTGTCTCAGCTCTGCGGCACAGAGACCATGCTGGGGCAGCCGCTCCAGCTGCTACAGAAACCCGGAGTGTCTCAGCTCAGCACGGCTCTGAAGGTGGCGTCCACGCGGCTGCTGCAGATTCTGGCCATCAGCACTGGGTGAGAGGTTAAGGACATTTGAAAGTACTGTCACTACTCTGTAAACAAAGGAAAGTTTACATCAACAGCCGCGTGCTTCTTTGGGTTACAGAACATACGCAGACAAGTTGAGTCCCAAGGTGGTTCAGTCGCTGTTGGACCTGCTCTGCAGTCAGCTGAAGAACCTGTTGTCTCAGGCAGGAGTCAGTCTCCTGTCGTCTGGAAAAGACCAAGACGACAACAAGCACGAGGACAGTGCAGACTCCGAGAGGAAAGACTTGAGAGGTGATAGACAAAGTTGCTCTTTGGTCGCATTAATGTTTGCAGTGTTGTCTTTCATCAATAGAAGAGATTATCCGAGTCCATCACATCAACCAAACGTTTTGTCATAAAAAACTGAATTTATTATATTTGGACTTGGAAATATTCAAATAATAAACAAACATCTGTTTATCTTGTATTCCGTGAAATGTAGTTTACTGTTTCTAATTGGACGTTTGTGGATGTTGTATGATTTTTTTTTTTCAGCTTTGATTCGTAAGCAGCACACTGCAGAGCTGCACCTCGGAGACTTCCTGGTCTTCCTCAGGAGAGTCGTGTCGTCCAAGGCCATCCAGTCCAAGATGGCCTCCCCCAAATGGACTGAAGTGCTGCTCAACATTGCTGCACAGAAATGCTGCTCAGGTACAAGTGGCTGAAACACAACCCAGGTGAATGTGCGATGCTTTTTTGTCGTAAAACACAACTAAGACATTCACTCGTGTTGGTTCCAGGCGTCCCTCTGGTGGGAAACTTGAGAACTCGGCTCCTGGCGCTTCACGTACTGGAGGCTGTTCTGCCTGCATGCGAGGCCAATATGGAGGATGATCAAATGACACAGGTCTGTACACGTCCTAAAAGCATGTGTCCTTGTGTTGTCTTTGATTTGAGTTAATGTATGTCTTGCTCGCCAACAGCTAGATCTTTAGCAGGTTAAATATCTTCATCATCTGATCAGTCTGGGTTTCTCCTGGTGAGAGATTGAACAAGACAATGAGTTTCCTGAATTTCACGATGCTGAATCGCCTGAATTTGCCTGAAGTCACTGTTGATTTTCTTGTTGGATTTGTCGACTATAACAAAAGTATAAATTTCACTGACAGAACGAACTCAATTTGCTCTCTTGAAGGTGGTGGAGCGTCTTTTCTCTCTGCTGTCCGACTGCATGTGGGAAGGTCCCATTGCTCAAGCTAAGCACTCGATCCAGATTAAAGAGAAAGTCCAAGAACTCAAACTACAGGTGTGCACTCCCCCTCCCCCGACTCCTGCTGTGTTTACAGTATCGTGTTTTCTTCGGATGTCTGACAGGTTCTTTAATCCACAGGGAGACGCAGAGGAGGAGGACGAGAACCTTCCCATTCAGGAGGTGTCCTTCGACCCGGAGAAGGCTCAGTGTTGTGTGGTGGAAAACAGCCAGGGGCTGACGCATGGCAGCGGGGGCAAAGGCTACGGCCTGGCCTCCACTGGAATCTCCTCTGGATGTTACCAGTGGAAGGTACATTATTAATGTTCTATATGGAAAGGAAGTGGAAAAAAGATGATACTTTATTCCATGAAGGTGAAAAGTCAAAAGTATAAACTGCCTCTTTTTTAATTTGTCTTCCTGTTTTGATTTATTTCACATTTTGCTTCTGTGCTAGTTTTACATTGTGAAGGAGAACCGAGGCAACGAGGGCACGTGTGTCGGTGTCTCACGATGGCCCGTGCACGACTTCAACCACCGCACCACGTCAGATATGTGGCTGTACCGGGCGTACAGCGGAAACCTCTATCATAATGGAGAGCAAACGCTGACACTCAGCAGCTTTACTCAGGGAGACTTCATCACCTGCGTCCTGGACATGGAGGCCAGGACCATCTCGTTTGGCAAGAATGGAGAAGTGAGAGACGTGATGTTACAAGCTCAGCTCCTGTGCTCTGAAGATGACACTGCTGATGTTCATGTGACATACAGCAGCTTTATGTGTTTTGACTCAAATTTTTAAACAACAGAAAGAATATATTAAATAAACAGCTCAGAAAAATCGACATTATCACCTCAAGCATCTGTTTCCGTCTCTTACTCGTCTCGTGTTTCCACAGGAGCCAAAGTTGGCCTTCGAGGATGTGGACGCCACAGAGCTGTATCCCTGTGTGATGTTCTACAGCAGTAACCCAGGAGAGAAGGTCAGAGAACATGTGCAGCTGTCTGAGACCCATGATTCCCCACCTCATTATTGTAATCGATTGTTTTTATGATCTGGTTAGTTTTGGTCTCACATTGTAATTTAAGGAGCATATTAAAGAATTGTGTCTGGCGTCCAAAAATACGTACGTCCAAAAATACCAATATTTATTTTACTCGTCTCTGAATGGCTCTAGGTTAAGATCTGTGATATGCAGATGAGGGGAACACCACGAGACCTCTTACCTGGAGACCCTGTCTGCAGCCCCATGGCCACAGTCCTGGCCGAGGCCACCACGCAGCTGATCCGCATCTTACACCGCACTGACCACTGGACCCATCGTATCAACAAAACCATGGTGGAACGACTTCACAAGATCAAGGCCTGCTTTAGAGAGTCGGCCGGTGCATCTGGAGGCAGTGGAGGTCAAAGACTGAAAAAGAGTCGCTCTGTGCAGAGCCGCGAGGAGCACGACGCCCAGAGAGAAAGCCAAGAAACGCCCACAAGGACGGAGGAGGAGAGGGGACGCCACGGACGACAGCATGGCTTGGGGGAGCTGTCGGAGCACCACCTGAGAACGCTGTGCACAGAGGTGTGGCCGGTCCTGGCGGTGATCGGGGGTGCTGATGCAGGCCTCCGTGTTGGTGGGCGATGTGTGCACAAGCAGACGGGACGCCACGCTACACTGCTGGGTGTGGTGAAGGAAGGCAGTACCTCAGCGAAGGTGCAGTGGGACGAGGCTGAGATCACCATCAGGTAATGGCTGGACACTGTTTAGCTGTGGCTCATTTTTTTAATCACGTTTCTTTGGACATTTTTCTTTGTTTATATTTCGCTGTGTTTATATCCTGATGAATTTTTGTAGTTTTATCAAAATGGCCGCCACTTTATTTGTGTTTGAGCTGTCATGGCCTCCCTGACCTTTCAGCCTCCAACTCCAAATTTAACGGTGCCACAGGCGTGTGTTCCTCTTTATGGATATGTGTCACAGGATGTTGATATGAGGTAGTTTGCAAAAAAATGACCTGTGCACATGAATGTAAACAGGAAGTAGATTGTCTACTATAATACATCAAACGAGGAACATTGATGGTGAAAAGTAAGAGCAGGGATTCAGTGCAAGCGTTGGCGCCGCTTTGCTTTTCTCGCTGGTAGTCGAGTCATGTTACTGATGACAACCAGGAAGAGAACGTGGGTGTCTGCGTCATCGTGCATCAAAGTCTCCGTTTCTGTACCAGATCTCCAGTGTTTACACAAGTCTCAGATTTAGAGGAAAACTAGAATCAGTGATATGTTTACAGACTAAAACATACTAGTGTGGACGTCTTCTTAGTTTAGGAAGCAGCGGTCTGGACACACGGTGTTTTCTGAATGTTGCTCTACTGTACTCATCCTCTTCTGGTGCCCTCTGCATTAGCCTCTCGCTCTTTAACCACCTCTTCGCCCTCCATGTTCCCTCCATGTTCTACTGTTTTCCGTTCCTCACACTCATTGTTTTGCATCATCACTCTTTGCACGATCCAAAAGACCATTGAGCCGCATGTTTTCTGTCCACACCCACACATCCATCTTTTTTGTGTCTTGCATGCTGTGCTCTTTCTCTCCTGCCCTCTCCCTCACTTTGTGTTTCCTTCCCTTGTCTCTTTTCACTCTCCACTTCCTTCTATTAAAGCTTCCCAACTTTCTGGTCGCCTAGTGACACTCCACTATACAACCTGGAGCCCTGCGAGCCGCTGCCCTTCGACGTGGCACGTTTCCGTGGCCTCACCGCCTCGCTGCTGTTGGACCTCACCTACCTTACTAGCATCCATGAGGAAACAGCCGCCAAGCTCGGTGGGCGACGTCATGACAAGAAGCATCGCAACGCCGCATCAACTGGGCACGAGCCGGCCGCCAATGAAGACAAAGCAGACAATGACGGGCACAACCGGAATGAACAAAGAGATGGAGCCTCATCTGGAGCAGTTCCAAACACCACGCCCTCTGACCTGCGTGTGTCCCACAGCCTGGATGAGGTGAAGGCACACGTGGCGCCCAACTCGAAGTCAGAGAGCGAGATCTCCTCCGTGGCCGGGATCGGTGGAAATGAGACTCTTTTCTCTGCTGCTCCTCACATTCCTGCGGAGGGGAACAGGAAGAAAGGCCACGATCATGGCCTTCGCAGCCACGAGCCGTCTCCTGCCTCTATCGCCACCCAGTCGGAGATCCATGCTGTGCAGCTGTCCTATCTCTACCTGGGAGCCATGAAAACCCTCAGCGCTCTGCTGAGCTGCAGCAAATACGCTGAGCTGCTGCTGATTCCGAAGGTACGTTTAACAACTGTTATAATTAACCTCGTTGTTTTATGAGGACTTAGTTTGCTAATTTGCTTTCTTTCCAAAAGTCACATGATAAAGATTGTCATCAGTCTTAGCCAGTTAGCTTAGCATAGAGACATGAGGAAACAGCTTCTCTGGCTCATCACTGACAAACCGCTCCGAAGGTCACTTAACCCAGATGTAAAAATGACAGTTTGTAGTTTTACATTTAGATCCACAGAATTTCCTACAGATGAAATAACTGAGATTTATTTTATGAATCTTTGAGCCGTACAGGTTCTGGTGCCTTTGGCCGGAGAGAAACTTTTGGCCGCTGGCTACGACCTTATGTTGAGTGAACAGACATGAACGTTGTCATCTAGTTTATGGAAGGAAAGAATATCTGAGCTTCTGTTGGGTCTGGATCTAAACAGGTCTCACATTTAATTATATATATTTTAGGCCATTTCAGGTCTTTTCCCCTGTAAATTACACAGATACAGATTTTAACTTGATAACTGAACGTCAAACGCTCGGTCAGAACTGATCTCAGTTCACTCAGCAGTGACACAGTTAAAGACTATGGTACCTGCTGTGTCTGAAGTTTGAGAGTTAACAGAGTATCCAGGATTATTCTCCTCTTGACTACTTCACCTGATCTTAAATCTTGATTCAGTAATTCTGGGACTTTGATATTTCTTCGTATCATAGGTCTGGACACTGATTATGGTCCCAATGTTTGACTCGATGAAACAAGCCTGCACAATGTTGAACTGGTCCTTAGACCAAGTCATTTGTTTCATACTGTTTCATTTGAATATATAGAAATAAATATGGAGCGAACGCAGAGTCTCTGAAAACAAATTGTCTGATGTGAGTGAAATGTTTTTCCTGAGACGGATCCAGGTCACGTTGTGTTTTCACATTTATTCAAACCCTTTTTCTCTCCTCTGACTTTAGGTTTTACCGGAAACGGCGCCCAGTGGGCACAACGCTGACCTGAATGCCGGCACCAGCGGGAGCGCTGCTGCCACCTCACCGGTTTGCCCTGAGGAGGTGGAGATGCGGGCGGCTCTGCAGTTTCTCATGCGCCACATGGTGAAGCGGGCGGTGATGCGCTCTCCTATCAAACGAGCCCTGGGCCTGGCGGACCTGGAGAGGGCACAGGCCATGATCTACAAGCTGGTTGTGAACGGGCTGTTGGAGGAGCCCAGTGGGGGGAAGATGAAACCTGGTGAGAGTCAGTAGAGACGTTCATGCTTTGAATTAATACGACTGATTATTTATTAGTTCGTATTGAGCTTCCACAGGCTGTGATGTCATGTGACCTCACACCACTGGAGAGATATAATAAAATATTTAACAACTTTATTAAATGTCAACAAACTCCTCCCATATTCATTTTATAGCCAAATAAACTGTTGACAAATTGTGAGAGCTCCATCCATTGATATAAAAACAGTGTCGATATTCTGTAGGTAGGAGGCGCTGTTTCAGCTTCGTCTGTGGTTTTTGTCCCTCAGGACTGAGGAGTGAACCGGAGGGTGAGGGGGACGGGACAGAGGGCGAGCAGTTGGCACAAACCCCGGTCACCACCAGCCCCTCGGCCTCCAGCACCACCTCCTTCATGAGCTCCTCTCTGGAGGACACCACCACCGCTACCACACCCGTCACAGACACGGAGACCGTCCCCGCCTCGGAGTCTCCAGGAGTCATGCCTCTCAGCCTCCTCAGGTCAGAGCAGATGGCTGCACGTGTTGTCGGCTCGTGTTAATGAGTCGCCTTGTTCCCTTCGTATGTTTAGAACGAGATGATTATTTAACGCGTCTCTTTTCTTATCACAGGCAAATGTTCTCTAGTTACCCAACAACCACCCTGGGCCCGACCCGTCGAGCCCAGACTCCTCCGGTGACGTCTCTGCCGACGTCGCCCTCCGATGAAGTCGGCCGCAGGCAGAGTCTCACCTCCCCAGACTCCCAGCCCACTCGACAACAGAACAGGACAGGTACCTGTAAGTATCCCAGCTTGTCTTTCACATAAACATCTACGATACTCAACCCAAAGGGAAGCTGCACGTTTTAAAAACAGGACTCCGTCAGTGTTCCCAACACTTGGTTCCCATAACAACAGCCATGACCCTTAGTTTTGATCCTCTTCCTGTCAGATTAGTAATGATTTCACTAATAGTGTCCGGTGTTCTCTGTAGCTCTGTCGGACCCCAGCAGCAGACTGTCGACGTCTCCCCCTCCTCCTGCCATCGCTGTGCCCCTGCTGGAAATGGGCTTCTCCCTGCGACAGATCACTAAAGCTCTGGAGGCCACGGGTCAGTCTCCCCCATCCTCCCCTCAGTCTCCGTCAAGTCTCCACCTACATGGTTTCAGACGACTGCATTTTAATTCAGTGCAATTAAGTTGAATCATCCTCGGACCAACAGACGTTACACAGCTCGTCATCAGTGACGGAAGAGCTCGAGACACTTTTACATTTTTCTGTGTTAACTGCAATGAATGCAAGTAATTAAATGATGTAATGAAGTAGTAATTTAACGATTTCACCTTATTAACACATGAGAGTAACAACAATAATCAACTTAATAATCAATATAGCACCGAAATCACAATAACAACAATGAAGAATTGAAGTAATAGGAAAAACTTAAAAGCAGTTTGAAGATCACACAACGTTAGACAGAAATATCAGAATCAAACTGTTACAGATGACAAAAGAGTCTAAGTAAATAAAACAAGAAAATTAAAACTGTTTTTTAATCCATGAAAATGTCAAACTCACATTTTAAAAAGTGATTTTCTGGCTCCGCCTCCTGATGCAGATCTAGATTTGATTAGTTCTTCCCTGAACCATGAAAGAGTCAAAATGAAAACATAAGTACCTTCGCAGAGGCAATAAAACATTTTAAAATGATTTAAAAAGTTGGTAAGATCACGATTTGAAAGCGTCACAGTTTGAGGAGTGTAAATGTGAACATTTAAAAAAAGTTGAACATCATGTCACGGCTATGATTTAGTGGTTTATGGAAGGATGGTGTATTTCTACTCCCTCCAGGTGCACGAGGAGAAGCAGACGCTCAGAACATCACTGTTCTGGCAATGTGGATGATCGAACATCCGGGAACAGAGGACGAGCACGACGAGCCTCACACCAGAGGCGGCGGCGGCTGCAGCGACGGGTCGGACTCCTCGTGTCCGGGGGCGACAGCTTCTGCTGGAGGCAAATCTCTGGACAGGAGCTCGTATCTGTGCTCCCCCGGAGAAATCGCCAATGCAGACGCTGCGGAAATGGAAGAGGGTTTCAGTGAGAGGTGAGAAAGCTAAAGGTTGAATCCTGATTTAGTGCAGAGACTAAATCTCACAGACTATCTCAAAGTTCTGTGTGGATCAATCTGTGGATAATCTGGTACAACCACAGGATTTCACCTGGTTCAGCTCCAGTTGGATGTTAAACGAAGAGTCGTTCAAACACAGAGGGATATTCAGCTGATTAGATTTCTGTTCTTCAGAGAGAGCTTCTCATACTAAAGGTGTTTATCAGTAAAGTTCACTCATAAACATGTTTTTGCACTTCAGTCCCGAGGGTCTGGAGCAAGACAGTGCATCAGCCTCCAGCGGCGTTGCTCTCCGAGGACGCTCTGCGGTTGGAAGGAAGCATCGCTTTGACCTGGCTGCTCGAACACTCTTAGCCCGTGCTGGTGAGAACTTTCTACAAACGCATCTTTTTTTCCACATTTGTTTCATAGTTATTTCTTCTTCAACGTATGAACCTCACGTTTCTTTCCCTTCCCAGCTGGACTGTACCGCTCGGTGCAGGCCCACCACAGTCAGTCACGTCGGGAGGTCCCATCCCTTCAGCAGCAACAAGACCCGGCCGCCCTGTATGACTTCAACCTCGATGAGGAGCTTGAGATGGACCTGGACGAAGAGACCATGGAGGCCATGTTCGGCCAGGACCTCGCCAGCGACACCGACATTCTGGGAATGTGGATCCCGGAGGTACTGGACTGGCCAACATGGGTGTGTGTGACTTTATGCTTCTGTCAGCGGGCTGCCACCGTCATTCTGCTCTTTATCTGCCCTGCATCACGTCTCCATCACACAAACTCACGTGCACGATGAAACGCCAGCTTCTTTAGTCGGGTTTAAAAAACCCTCTCACTGGTTTCTCCTGGAAACTACGCACTGATCTAACCGGCATGAAGTGAACAACTAGTTGAATGTTGATGAAGTGGCTGTTTGGATTTCATTAACTCATAGTCGTCAGTATTTCATATTTCTACCTCAGTGCATCGCATGTGTGCTTCACTGCTACTCTGAAGCCTAACGACTGTCTCGTGTGTGTCGTACGTGTTTCTTCTTCATGGACATGTGCGTGTCTGTGTGCGTTTCTCTGCCACTCGTCGCAGCATGTGTGTGAGACGGACGATCGGGATGAAGTGGTGGTGTGCGAGCTGTGTGAGGCCAACGTAGCAAACTTCAATCAGCACATGAAGAAGAGCCACCCGGGCTGCGGCCGCAGCGCCAACAGGCAAGGTTACCGCAGCAATGGCGCCTACGTGGACGGCTGGTTTGGAGGCGAGTGTGGCAGCGGAAACCCTTACTACCTGCTGTGTGGCGGCTGCAGAGAGAAGTACCTGGCCATCAAAAGCAAAGCCAAAGTCCCCGTCGTGGAGAGGTAAGAAAACCTGGACTTTAGTTGTTTGATGTTTTTACTCTGTTATAACTATAAGATTTTACTTTACGATATTTAACAGGATTGCATAATTTCTCAGTGTGTATCAGGAGAGAGAGGAAACTAAATCCCAAATTACCAATGAGTGTTTCCCACCTGTATATGGACTGTGTCATGTTGGTGTTGTTAGATATTCTCTATTATGTCTGTGGCGTCATGTATTAGTTTGTTGTTTAAAGGAAGTAGAACTGACGCTCTGCTTTATTTCTGTATTGTGTGGTGTGTGCTCAGATATAAGGGACAGGCTCCTGACCTCCTGGGGAAACAGGACAGTGTCTATGAAGGTAAAGTCCAAGGATTCATGTGAAGCAGTTCATGTTTGTGACGGTGACACAACCAGCTACAGTTTTATGTTCATGTTTGAACATTTAGCAGATAAGAAACAAACACAAACCCTGTTAGTGGGACTCACAACACAAACCTCTGCACAACATCACAAATACTGAAATAGTAAATAATATTCAATGTCTGTTTGCTTCATGGGTTGAATTTACCTCAGAAATAAGAAAACTTTCTTCCAGAAAGTCTAAATGGAGACGAGCTAGAGACATGAGCGTGACACAGCAGCACCTCGCTGCAGCAGCTCAGTTTCTGCTGGTTATGACACTTTAATAATGAAAGAGTGAATCAATGTCCGTCTGTCCCGCTGCAGAGGACTGGGACATGCTGGATGTTGATGAAGATGAGAAGCTGACAGGGGAGGAAGAATTTGAGCTGTTGGCCGGCCCGTTGGGTCTGAGCGAGCGCAGGATCGTCCCCGAGGCCGTCCAGTTCCCTGACAGCGACCCGCTCGGAGCCTCTGTAGCAATGGTGACGGCCACCAACAGTATGGAGGAGACGCTGCTGCAGATCGGTGAGGACGAGGTGTTAATGCCTCAGCAGCTTATAGTTTATCTGTTGTTCATGACTTGGAGCTGAGCAGTGAAAGTGTGTGTTTGCTTCAGGCTGTCAGACCTCAGTGGATAAGAGCTCATCGGGCAGGGTGACCCTCGGGGAGCAGGCCGCCGCTCTGCAGAACCCACACGACCGAGTGATGGCGCTGAGGAGGGTGACGGCTGCAGCCCAGGTGCTGCTGGCGAGGACCATGGTGATGAGAGCCCTGTCCCTGCTGTCTGTCAGGTAGAGATCACGGTGTCACACGATGCTCGTCCTGTTTTCCTCCTTCAGCTTGAAGATGAGCTTTAATCAGTAGCTGCACAAACAGGAAACATTCGACTGAACCAAACCTTCGGCTGCTCGACTACGTATGAAAAAGATGTGACGGTTCCTGACTAACGCTGCGTCCTCCCTTCTGCGTCTTTGTTTGAAAACACATCACAGTCCACATGACGTCTGTACGCTGCTGTCAGTCACTTCCACTCTGTCACTGTTCCAGGAAAAAACTTTTTATCTTTATTGTACCTTGTAGTATCTTTCCTTTATATTGGTCGGTAACTAAGCAACCAACTGCAGAGCCGACAATCTACTTCCTGTTTATGACCAGCGAACGTGACTGGTGATATGTGACAGTAGTAGTTGTAGCCTCTGCTTCACCCTGGTGGCGGCGGCATGAACAAATTCAAATTAACTCTGGCATCATTTAAAAGTTCATTCTTATGAAGCTCCTACACACATTTGCTTTCGTTCAATATAATTGACACAATAATTAATGATAATTATAAGATATACCCTAAGATATTTACTAGATTTCAGCCTCATAGACCTTTGTTCCCTCTCAGTGGCTCGAGCTGCAGCCTCGCAGCAGGTCTGGAGTCTCTGGGTTTGACTGACATCAGGACTCTGGTCAGACTGATGTGTTTGGCGGCGGCGGGTCGAGCCGGTCTTTCCACCAGTCCCACAGCGGGGGCGGGTCACGCGGAGAGACCTCGTGGAGCCGCCAAGGCCAGCAAACCCATCTCCTGTCTGGCCTACCTCAGCACGGCCGTGGGCTGCCTGGCCTCCAACAGTCCCAATGCCGCCAAGCTGCTGGTGCAACTCTGCACTCAGGTAAACAATGTGACTCATCAGCATCCGCTCCATTCCACGTCATGGTTCAATGAGCTCAAGATGAGACAGAGCGGCGAGGTTTTAAAACAGGTTGTAATGTTGATGAGAACAAAATATATCTTATGTTGGATCACATTGTATGATCTGCTCCCTCTAACCTGCCAGTTTACCATTAAACATTTTGTATTCTTTCAGAACCTGATCTCTGCGGCCACAGGCATGAACCTGACGACCGTAGACGACCCCATTCAGAGGAAGTTCCTGCCCAGCTTTCTTCGAGGCGTGGCCGAGGAGAACAAGCTCATCACCTCCCCCAACTTTGTAGTGACACAGGCTCTGGTGGCTCTGTTGGCAGATAAAGGGGCCAGACTGCGACCGGCCTACGACAAGGCCGACATGGAGAAAAGAGGTTTGTGGACAAAGAGGCGGGAGAAACAAACGAGCTGCTGTTACACAGTGTGTGTTTGTTCATGGTAGTAATCATGGTACTTCATGTTTATACTGCTCGTGTTGAGCTTCACTTCGTTTTCCTTTGCAAACATGTTTAGTAATAAGAATATTGAATGAATTGATTGAGATACCTGATTTGCAGACGTTCAAAAGTCTGAGAATTAGATTTATTTTGTGGCTTTTAAATGAATTCAGGGGAAGTGATTCTGCCACATGAGTGAAAACAGAGTTCAGTGTTAGAGCAACACGATGAAACATGTTTAAACATCAGCTGGATTAAAATAACATGAGACATTTTCTTCTTTCATTTTCACTCCTCTCTCTGTTCAGTTGTGTTTAATCTCTTTGAAAACCACAGATTAAATCACCACGTGTGCGACTGAACGCTCTGTTGTTCACTTCAAGTTTCTTACTGTTGCTTCAAGATGTTTAATTCGATTTTCTTTGCTGGCTCATCATAATAATGAGTTTGGGTTTGTGTGATTCATGTAGTTATGGTAAATTCATTGTTGTCGTCTGGCCCGAGCTTTGTTTCTCTCTTCTCATGTGGTTGTTCTGGGTTTTTAGTGTTTTCATGTTTGTCTCTTTCATTTGTGTTCCTTCTCTCACTCGCCTCTACCTTGTCACTTGTTTTCTTGTCTAATTGCGCATTACTTTTCCCATAATCCCTCCGCTGCAGGCCCTCTGGAGCTCGCCAACGCACTGGCGGCGTGCTGCCTGTCCTCCAGGCTTTCTTCACAGCACCGCCAGTGGGCTGCCCAGCAGCTGGTCCGCACGCTGGCCGCCCACGACCGCGACAACAACCAGAGCCGGCCGCAGACCTTTGCCGACATGGCAGGGGACCTGAGAAAGTGCTCCCTCGTCAAGCTGGAGGCTCATCAGAGCAGGGTCGGTGTCCTTGTTTCATTTAGAGGCTAAACTGTCGGGTTTCATTTCTGCAGCGTCAAAGGTTCAGTCAGAATTTATACTTTTTAGTTTGCAGGTCACAGTTACATCAGTTGTTTTGCCAGATTTAAGATTAATTGACCTCTTGACTTCCTTATCTTAAATGGTTCCAGATGCTTCACTTTCTCCACATCTTGTTTGTGAGTCTTCACGTCACTGTCAGAGTCAGTGCTTGTAACGTGACATGAGAACAGTTAATAGTAATACTGATGCTCAATCAATATATATTATATTACTATATTTTTAATAGGTTGTATAGAATTCGTGCTAACTGATGTAAAATAATGCAAACGCCAAAGTATTTGAGTTTTGATTTGGACGTCGGTTACCACGGCAGCAGCTGTTTGGAATCATTGGGGTTGGGCCTGTGTGAAACTCTGTGTCTGAGGGTTTAACTCGTGGAGTCCTGCTCTGTGTGACGCAGGTCATCACGTGTGGGTGGTGCAGCAAGAAAGGCCTGTTGGCCACAAGTGGCAACGACGGCATGGTCCGGGTGTGGAACGTGACCAAGAGCCAGTATTCGCTCCAGCAGACGTGCATCTTCAACAAAGAGTAAGACCCCGTCTGGTCTCTGTCCTCAGAAACTCCAGAGATCGTGAAGACAAATGTGCAGTGACAGAGTTTAGATGTTATTTTACTGAAGTTACAGCACGTCTCATTTTTCTGGTTTGGTTTGTATTATGTAGTTAATCTGATGTGTTATGATCGTTCAATTTAAACTAATGTTGTCTATAGATATGTGTTGATATATCAACTAATATAATATTAATGATAATATAAAACTAAAATAAATATGTATAAAACGTGTCTCAAGAGTTGGACGGACTTTTTGTGAGAGCTCATGTTTCTGCGTTTCAACTGAATCTGAAAATTCTCCGTCTTTATGAGTCGATATTATTTCAAAAGGTTAAAATAAGATAAATCATCGCAGCTGTAACTTTGGCTCATTTGCGTTTGCTCTCATCAGTGATGGATCCTCGGAGGACGGCACGTCAGGCTTGGGATCTCCCACTGATCCCATCTTGTCTCCTTTGGCCTGGAGCGTCACTGGCAAATTTCTGGCTTCTGCCATCGACAAAATGGTCAACATCTGGCAAGTTAATGGTAATTACTGTTCAATCTCCTCTATCGGCCGCTCCTTCTGTTTTCATTTTATCGTAGTACGTTCATTATGAGTCGAGTGTAAAATGTATCGTGTGCTCGTCCATGTTGTTGGTGTGTGAGCAGATTCAGATTTTATAGATCCCATTAAAAATGAATGTGTCTGGGGACTGGATGTGGCCCAACCATCGTTTCCTGCCTCCCACCACACACCCTGCAGCATGCACTATCTGTCCTCAGCCTCTTTCTATGGCCTCAAGGAGGAAAGTCCACGAGTCCTTTCATGAGCACACGTTCTGTTGTGTCTTTGAAATGTGACTGTGTTGCACAAGCAGATGAAACCCACTACACAAGCAGTTTATCACAGAAACAGTGTCAACACACGTTCTACTTGTGCGTTCATGTTGAAATAACCTGAGATATTAGTTCCTGCCGCCATCTGAAGACGGAGCAACAACTCGGAAAGTCAGCAACAACCAAATAATAAAGTGTGGAATCCTTCCTCAGGTGGTAAAGGCCTTTTGGACGTGCAGCCTCACTGGGTGTCGGCTCTGGCTTGGCCCAAAGAGGAGGCAGAGTCCTTGTGGTGCGGGGAACCCAAGGACATGCTGCTGGTGGGACGGGTGGATGGATCCCTGGGCCTCATCGAGGTGCTGGACGCGGCCACCGTGCACCGCACCGAGCTGGAGCACTGCTACCGCAAAGATGGTGAGAAGAGAAGAGGGGTGTTTTTGTGTTTTCGGTTGCACTTTGTAAACGACAGAACTCTTCTAATGACATGCGTGCGTCCTCTCTCAGTGGCCGTGATGCACATTGCCTGGTACAGTGAGGACAAGCCTTTCGCTGTGGGCTACGCAGATGGAAAGCTGCTGATCGGTTTCAAAGAGCCGTTAGAAAAGGGAGCCATCGTGGTCATTGATGCACACAAGGTAAACCGCAAAATGATCTTAAATAGAACATCGTGCTAACAGCAGATTATAAGTTGATTTACAGCCAAACTAAACGTGTGGTTCTCTCAGGAGTCGATCACCAGTATGAAGTGGAGTCCCAGCGGTCAGATCCTCCTCACCTGTGCCAAAGAGGAGACGGTGAAGCTGTGGGCGAGTCACGACCCTCACTCCGACTCCGGCTCCGGCTGGCGCTGCCTGCAGAGCCTCAGACATCCTTCCACGGTGAACGGTGTGGCGTGGTGCGGCGTGCCCGGACGAGGGCCGAAGCCTCTCAGCATGTTGGCCATGTAGGTGGTTCTATAAAACCAGGTCTGGCCGGAGATGATGATTCTCCGCTTTCACTTTGGTGACGATCACGTGTCGCTGTGTTTTTCAGATGCTGTCAGAACGGCCTGGTCTCCGTCTGGACTGTTCCTCAGGACATCGCCAACTTCCCAGAATCCTCTTCCTCTGACTCGGGGGGGTGGTGGGAGAACGAATCCAAACTAAAATTCATGGTATTTTTATTTAGTAAATAATAATTTGTTGCCTTGTAGTTTAAATATGTGAACATTAAGTGTAGATTCATAACAATTCATCTGTCGTCAAAACCACTTCAAGTCCGAAGAGAGACGCTCGATGACAAACTGTCCCTGTGGTTGTGTTGCAGTCTTCCAGGCGCTCGGTAGATAGAGCCATGTGTGTTTTCCAGCTGAAGGGTCACATCACTCCAGTCAGAACGCTGGCCTTCAGCCCTGATGGTCTGGCCCTGGCATCTGGAGGAGTGGGAGGCCTCATGAACATCTGGTCACTACGGGTAAGACACACACACACTCACACTCTGCTGTTTACAGTGACACTGAACTTTTCCTCTGGAGTCATTTTGCTCGTGTGTGTCCACGTTCCACAGGACGGCTCGGTGCTCCAGACAGTCGTGGCCGGGTCGGGGGCCATCCAGAATATTGTCTGGATCCCAGATGTGGGTGTCGCCGTCTGCTCCAACAGGTCAAAGGTAAAACGTCTCACCTTCATTCATCTGTGAGTCACTGAGATACTTTATTTATTCTCTTTTTCACACGTGTGTTGATATGGTTTCACTTCCAGGACGTGCTGGTTGTTAACAGCTCCAATGAATTCATGGCGTCCAACCACGTGCTGGCCACTTGCCGCACGGCTCTGAAGAAGCAGGGCGTGGTCGGCCTTAACATGGCGCCCTGCATGAGGGCCTTCCTGGAGAGGCTGCCCGTCATGCTGCAGGAGCAGTACGCCTACGAGAAGGTACAAGAACATTTCAAATAATCTTCACAGTCACGTGTTTATAAGCAGCATGTGAATCCCCAGGTTCTTTAAGTCTTCATAGTCTTCATAGTCTTTATATTGAATATTCAATGAACAATAAAATCTCTTTGCTGGTTTAAAACTTCCTGAACAAGAATGTGTGTTGTTGATCTTCATTATGACATTTTCAGGTTGTCTGGTGTTTGTTGCTCCCGCTCTCGTAATCACATCATCATATAAAGTCTGGTCAGACGTGGATTTAACCCAACGTGACTCGTTGTCACCATCATTTCCTCCGGTTGCTGATGTTGCCTTGTCGTCTCTTTCCAGCCTCACGTCGTCTGTGGGGAGCAGCTCGTCCACAGCCCCTACATGCAGTGCCTCGCCTCCCTGGCCGTGGGTCTCCACCTGGACCATTTGTTGTGTCGCCCCCCTGTGCCACCTCCGCTCCGGCACTGCCCACCGGAGTCCGGCACTGCCGTCTGGAACGCCAGCGAGTGGGCGTGGCTGGACTGCTTCTCTACAACAGTCAAGGCGGCGGAGGCGCTCGCTCGAGGTGCCACCTTCCCAGAGTCCTTCTCTGTTCCCGACCTGGAGCCTGTGCCCAAAGATGAGATGGCTCTGCTCATGGTGAGGGAGGCTGCTGGTGTTTGTGCGGCTGCATCAATGTTGGAACTGTACTTTGTAATGTAATGAACACCTGCGCAGCCCATAATAACCCCCTGTGTTTCTAGGACAACCATAAATGGGCGTCTGGTATGGACGAACAGATCATGTCCTGGGCCACCTCCAGACCAGAGGTGATGTAGACTGAGACCTAGATCAACTGGAATAAAATGTTTCTCTGTGGAGCTGCTAACTGTGTGTGTGTGTGTG